TACCCAAATAATTATAACATACCTTTATGATGTTTAGTAATAACAGGTCTGCGATTAAGTGAACTTCAACAATATTAGTTATTACTATACAATAATATTAGTGTAAAACGTAGATAAATAAAATCTTCGAGGAATAAACATGGACTATAATATGTCTATATGGAATTAGTTTGTTCCTGGGGCCCTACATTTTATTTTATCGTCAGAATAACAATTTGTTACTATAAATTGTTATTTATTATTTTTATAGTTGTAGCAGCCACGTAATTTATATCAGGCTGAAGTTTCGGCGGTTTTTATTCAATTACTTGTTGAACGAGAATAGTTTGCTCTTGACTTCTATGAAAACGAAACACTGTAGTATTGTTATCACAATTTTTTTATCTTCTTTTAATATTTTGATAATAATATTATACAACAATGGGTTTTAGTATCTGAATTCTAAATTAAGTTGTTTACATTTTTTTGTTGATACTTGATTTGTAATTTGTATTTGAACGGTGTTGTACCTTGAGAAAATTCTATTTCAACTTTTCAAGTCAGCTTGGTCGAATGATTACAACCATACGAGATCATGCGAATACGGTTACTATAGCAATATTTACACAAATGCCATAAGAAATTGTGCTATTCGTAATAAAAACTATTAAAGTAGGAAACTAGGAAATYATTTTCATAAAAAAAACCATGGGTCGCAGAAGTGGAAAAGCATCAAAATTGAAACGCCATTCGTCTCTGTAATATTTCATATAATACTTATAATACTTTTTCAAAATAACATTMAATTTATAATTTTTAAATTTCAGAGATGATTTAACTGGTAGACCATATAGATTGCCAATTGACCGAAATCAAATTCGTCGAGTTGACCAAATTGATAACCCTCAAAATGGACATGAATATCTTTACTTGGCTAGGTATAAACGTCGGACGTGAAAATAGCCACTGCGATAAATTATGTTGTCTATTTGATTATTGTTTACATGTTTTTCTTCTTGATATTTTGGTCATGTATATTTATTTTTTATAGAAAAATGGAAGATAAATTGCCACCAGTTATGACYGCTACTAATGTTGAACTTCAGGAATTCATAAACAAATTTGAAAACAATGCTCCTAATTATGTCATAGTTAGTATTGAGATATATTTTGTCCATYAACTATTTTAGTAACAATAACAATTTGAACAAATAAGTTAAAATTTTTTCAAAATATACATTACTTTAATTAACTAAATAAATTTCAATAAATTATTTATTTTAATATTTACATGATCAATCAAACATTGATCACTAATTTTTGAAATAATTCTTGTTAATGATGCAAACAAAAATAACCAATACCTCACTTTGTGTTAACTGTTAACTTGTCAGGTGATTGCTCTCCCACTAAGCTGCCTGACAGCTCAGTCTCTAGACACTATATTTTCATCTTTATTACTAATGTTTACACAACTACCATAGCACTTAATATCTCTCATTTTAATTACAGATTTTAACTATTAACCACATACACAACAAACAATAGATTTTTGCTATTTACCATTGAYACGATAAAATCTTAGGCTATATGGTTCTTAAAATATTGTATCCTTTTAACTGGTTTGGTTGATAAGTTACCAAAATGGCTAAATATTAACATGCATATTCTTGGCCCGGATGAAACTTCWYCATATGCCTTCTAGATCTGATCTCCATTTTTTTTTTTGTTCTACAAAAAAATGCTCCAATTACATAATATAAACCTTTCTGTTGGACCTTCACTGATTTCTTAAAAATTTAACCTTATTTTACTTATTAATTTAGCTATAAAAAAATTAATGTACCTGAAAGACTTTTTATTTTAATATTCCGATGCGAAATACTGATAATTTTATCATATGTATTTAGTATTGAGTTAGAACTAAAATTTTTATATTGAGTAGWTATGTTTTATTATAAAAAATTGTTATTGAAATCAAAAAAATCATGATCAATTTTTTTCAGCCTCAKCTTGAATTGCCTTGCATAAAAAATAAGAAATTACTGCCAACTAAAGCCGAAATAATGTCTTACATTGAACAGTATGAAGATGCCAGAACCAAAATTCAGGATACCCGGAAATGTATTACTCATCCTGAAAATATATTGGTATGTTATCTGTCTATATTATATTTAACATTTATTTAAATATAAATTAACAATTATACTACCTATTTATTTTTTAATAATAAAAACTTATTCAATCATTTTCAGCCAACATCTAATTCACCAACTGCTTGGTTTACATTTTTGTTTGGAAGACAAATTAATGCTTCTACTCCAGTGAATCCTGTTCATAATATTGACAAAACTGTTTACTTTTATCAGGTAATTTWAAAATGATATCCTTTAATAATAAATACATGTTATATACTTGTTATCAGTATCGAGGGGGTGTAAATTGTTCGAACAGTATAAATAAAATTTTTTTTTAGAGCCACTGTGCTGCTGTTATATGTAACTTTGTTCAATGGATTATGAAAAAAATAATAAATACCAGTGATGTAACTTCTTGGACCTTTTCTGTGTATGCCAGTATGGACAGTGATCCAAGTGAAACTCTGTTGTCAGACATGCGTATACTTACACAGTATTTTATTAATGCTCGGGCAGAATTAGTAAGTAAAACTTTATACATACTACATTCATATTTAATAATTTTGTATTATATATTTTAAAGGAAGATCATTTGGATGTTTCTGCTTTGCGTTACAGCTGTTTAATTAACTTAGTCTCAGAAAAATTTAAGCAACACGATCTAGGTGATATTTTTAACTATAAAAATCATTATTCTGGAAGTAGTAAGTCAAAAAACAAAAATGAAGACTAAATACTGTTAAATGTGTTTAATTCTTTATATTATATATTTTTTGCTTAGTTCTAAGATCATGAAACTTTAACATTAATTTTTAACAAGTGTTTATTAATAATGTTTGTTATTTAAACTTATTATGATTTAAGATTAAACTTTATTGATGAAAGTTAGTTAAATTATATTAAGTAATAAATATTGAGTATATTAGTACAAGGGAGAACTTGAGAGCCATAAAAAGTCATTATTTTAATTATTTACGAGTATGTAGTATATCAATATAATAACGCTAATGTTTCATAGTGATTGGCAACAATTTTGTCCATTACTAATTGTAACTTATAACAGTCAAAAAAATTTAATAAATTATTACTA